GTTCGTTGTACTTTCTCTTCGAGTCATTATTGTTGAACGATGTCCATTTGTTGAGTCTTTCGATCAATTTTTATTCATGTGGGGGATTGTTGGAAAAAATGATTTTTGGTGACTTTAATTTAATATTAAAGTGTGGTGACTTTAATTAAATATTAAAGTGGATTCCAACCTTTTATTGTGTTAGGTCCAAGTGAGCCAAAAATCATTGGGTTTTGAATAAGAAATTGCCAAGAAATTGCCTCATGATGTTAGATTCATGAATAGGATTTGAAAGAGTATTTAAATCTTTTTTCTTGGCTAAAGGGTGTGAATCCTTTGGGCATCCAAACTTTCATATTTTTGGAAAGGGACTATGGATGCTTGGTGTTTTAATGACCAGCCTTAAAGGCTGGAGGCTCTTCTTCTCTCTCGTTTACATGTATAAATTGAGACCCTCCTGTCAAGTTTCAATATAGAAATTTTTTGCTTCCATTTTACAAGCCAGTTTGCCAGGAAGTTCCTATATTGAGAGAGTGCTGCCACTGTTCTTGTTCGCTAAGCTAGATAGAAAGTGCTTCTGCCGTAGCTGGTTTTGACCGTCGTATCCTGGGAGACAGACGCCGAGATTCCTCAAGCACTCGACCCGTGAGGCGGCGAAATCTGTTTTAAGGAAACTGCTTCCGTGCATGCTTCGATTTAGTCTCTTTACCCTTTTATTAGTTTGTGTATTTCTGTTGAAATTTAATTGTAATTATCAGCATATGTTCTTAGTATATAATTTGATTTCTTCATAAATCTATTTATTTAATTTCACAATTTGAACAACACAGTTTTATCTAATTCTCATGTTCAAGGACACTAGGACATTATTAAATTTCATATTTCTGAAGTACTTCTTTTATAGGATAAAATAGTGTTTATAAACTAACATAAAGCATTGCATGCATGAAATGGGAGTTTTATTAAAATCGTAAACTCAACTACTTTGGCATACCAAATGAGTGTATGCAAAACACATCTTATACCATTACTCAAGTGTCCAACATGTCACGCCCCAAGCTCCGTGACAACGCCGCACACTCATTTAAGTGAGCATGCAAGGCTAAGAATCCAACACATAACCAACAATGTAAAATACTCAAATTAAATCCTTAAATATCATAATGCTAAAAACCATACAAATAGATAATTCTTATCATATGAAATTGTCCACCAAGTCCACTAATAAAAATAATAATAATAATAATGATCCAAATACTTAAATCATAGTCCTACTCTCGGCACTCCCACAAGTAAAAACCCTGCACAGCTCTACTCCTCAGAATCTGAAAAATAAAATAAGGGTAAGCTAGACAGCCCAGTAAATAACCAACCATCACTATTAGCTGGATCAAGTATACAAAAAAAATAGTCGATAACCAATAAATATATTTTTTGCTACCATTCAATAAATGAACAATTATTTTGTAAGATGGTTTCGTAGTTGAAAATAAACAGTGTAGCAATACATTTTAATTGAAAAGACAATGAGGTAATTCGATGAAATTTCGTTGTTCAAAATTGATGGTTCGATATTCAAATGGTTCAATGATGCAATTCACAAAACCCAAGTCTTAATGACTACGGTCACTTAGCCCGTGACAAGGCCCAGAACCACACGTAGGCCGGTGGTAAAGCCCCAAAAGAAACTAGTTTCTATGCCAATAAATAACCCCCATTGGCTAGGGTCCAAATCATAGTCAGACTAGAGTGATGTTCAAAATTCAAACAATACACAACTTTCAAATAAAACATTCGATATTTTCAGAATAAATGTTTAGTACAATTTTCAAAATAGTTTCATCAAATATTCAAATAATTTTCATAATAATATTCGATGTTGTTTTATACTTGACCCATATTTTATTTTAAGAGAACATGAAGGATATAAATAAATATTTATGATTTTAAACGATTCGATACGAATGAAAATGAACCAACAGTGATAGAGGGTTACTTACCTCAAACCCTTAGAAATAACACTCCAACACCAATTCCAAACACCCAGCTCCACCACTTCGATCACACAAACCTAATAAATAAAACCTCAAATAAATTAATATTTTTTACATGTTACAAACACCCACAAAAGCACCACTATATTAGATTAATGTATTACTTTAATATCCAAGAGATCAAACCATTCAACCCAACTTTATAGCCAAACACACCTTTACCCATGATACAAAACTCCATTGTTTCTATTACCCACCCAAAGTTACACTTACACATTGCACCCAATTCTCAAAACCTAAGTAGGCACCTATAGATCTTCCAAATCTCCTTAATGCATTGATTGTTAAATTCCTCAACATAAACTTAATAATTAACAGTAAAGACAGATTTTACCTTAACCAATGGGTGTCCCAAAATCACCAACGTGCTGCCTTCAATCCCTATTGTAGCCTCACTTGAACCTCTCTTCTCTTTTTTTTTTCTTTTTTTCTTTTACCTTCTCAAACCCTAGCCGCCTATGGAGCAATTCATAGCCTCTGTTTTGTTTGTTTTCCAAGACTTAAAGCCACAATAGGTGGGCTTATTAACCTAATTTCACAAAGTTACAAAATTACCCATCTAAGTAATAGGAAATATAATGCCATCTCATAACTAATTCTTTGATATTAATAAATGACCCATATAAATTAATTTAATTACTAATCTATCCAATAAAATAATCCTACACACAACTTGGGTTTTACACAACACGAGTAAGTACTTTACAAAATTTCGAAGTGTCCATACAATATATATTGAAAGCATACAAAATGAGATCTAGCACATCCCTCATCAGAATAGTAAACGAACCTATCTTGTGAGAGAGATTTCTATAATTGTGCCTCCATTTAGAAGTCCTAGAGAATAATTTATCAATTAAACAGCCTTTCTGGGAATTTTATCTGAGCCCAAACCTAGGCCTGAAAAATGGGTTGAAACTTGAAGTACACAAGTACCAATGGCTCAATCAGAAGAAGAGAAGGAAAAACAATTGGGGGAAAGAAGAATTTAAGACCAGCCAAAATGCTTGTAGTGAACTAGTCAAGAGTGCAAACAACATACCTTGCGCAAGCAAATTACCAGTTTGATATGTGATAGAGTGCAAGGGGATGGTAGGAAAGGAAGATTAGCAATTTAAGGTTAACATCAAATGAAAAGATAAAAAGATGCAGAAAGGGGAAGAAAACAAAAAAAATTATTGGGAATCCACTTCAATTCTTGACCTTGGTTTTCTTAGCAAGCAAGTAGAGGATGGTGGCTAAAGCTGCCAGATGTGATGGCCGATGGTGGTTTACGACAGTAAGTGGTGATCAAAGGTGATTTTCAACAAGAGGTGGTAGGTGCCCACCGGTAGGATGTGGTTGTTGTAGGAAGTCGCATGCGATGGTGGCTGAAGGTGGGGGTGATGAGTGGTGGGTTGTGGCCTAAAAGGGTGAGAGGAGGAAGAAATGAAGATATATTTTTCTTAAAAGTAAAATCTACTTTTTTATTACAAAAATTTAGTAAATTGTTTACAATTCAAAACGAAAATGGATATCAAATTAGTTTTTGTTTATAATTTTTAAAATTTTGTAATATTAGTAAAAAAATGTAAATCTAAACATTACCTAACATGGCGTAATTGTTAATTGTTTCAACTTGCTGTTGTAAAGTATGCTATAGGTGGGGGAAATGTCAATAAAATGTGATGTGTACAATTATGAGATTCTTTTACTAGTGATGTTTATGAAGAAAACACCAACAAACAAAGATTAGTGGAAGCATTGGAGACAATGTTGGTAGAATAGTGGAGGCTTTGGAGTCTATCCTTCAAATTGGAGTTACATGTTCTGCTGATTTACTTATTTCATGTTCATGTTGTTAGAGGAGGTTTTTTAAATTGTTTTGAGAACAAGGAAGACGAAGAACTACTATAAATTCAGAAATGATGTACATATGATCATAGTTAGTGCTATTCTATTCCTCTATGTCCACAAGAAATGACAAGAGCAAGAGTATAGGATATATGTCCGACACTCGTACCTAAACTAGGCACTTGAATCCTCTAATTTTTTTACAATGGTTGAAAACAAAAAGGGAAAAAAAAAAAAAAAACATTTGCTTGTAAAAAAGATTTTCTATCCTCTAACATGGATAAGAAAGACAAATCCCATATAATTTCAATTATATTACTATTAATTTACTACATTTTATATCAAAATATCATACACCACGCAAAATGTTTAAATATTTTAGATGTGTCTGCATATCGATACACAACTTTTAAATACATATTCCAACACTCAAATTTTAGAAAGATAATGGATTTAGACATACCAACACTCGATGCTCATATCCAAATTCATATAACATATATTATAATATATGAAGGTAAAGTGGTGAAGATAATTTCATTTAAGAAATGTTATCAAAGTAAAATAATTATTCAGTCAGAAAAGAAAACCAATGATAAAGTAATACAAGTCAGGCCAGTAACAATGAACACTTATGACGTTTTAAGGCCCATATATGTAGGTTAAATTCTAGAAGGGAACCATTCGATAAGGCTATATTTGGGTTATAAATTTGGGTAGAGATCCATAAAGCGAAATGAAAAAGACGAGTAGAACGTGAGTAAATTTTTTCTCCATTTTTTTTTTCTTCTAAATTCCTATCATCCAAATACTGCATAAATAATTATTTTACAGTTACAGGACAAAAAGCAAATATATTTCTAAAAAATGGGTCGTTTGTCTTGATCCAAATGAATCATCAAGGTCAGCATCAATATCTCCATCTTCATGTAAAAACAATGCATCAACAAGTTTAAACAAAGTCAACATTAATGGCCTGCAAGCAAATTTATTTTTTCATTGACAATAACATTAAGAACTGAATGTCTCTCATTCACATCAAATAATTTAGGTCGAATCTGTAGTATGCACCTTTTTGATTACGATGTGATGTATTGACTATATGATACAATCATATTGGAGTCTTGCACACAGACTGACCCAATATCATATAAAATCACACATCTTCTCTTTTACATTCACTCTATTGGTTTTTTAGCCAAACCAACTTCTGGTTTCACAAATGAAACCGACCGCGAAGCTCTGATCGCCATTAAAGATCTAGTAACATCCGACCCGTCGCAATTTCTTAGTTCGTGGGCCGATTCTATTCATTTTTGCAACTGGCACGGAGTTACATGTGGGAGTCGACGCCAACGAGCAACCGTCCTAAACATGTCATCACTTCACTTGTCTGGTTCCCTGTCTCCTCACATAGGTAACCTTACCTTCCTTGAAGATATCAATATTCAAAATAACAACTTCCAAGGCACAATCCCACTAGAAATTGACAGGTTGTTTTGCCTTCAATATCTTCTTTTCGCAAACAACTCTTTCCAAGGAACAATTCCGACCAATCTGACTCATTTTCCACGTATCCTAGTCATTGAATTGAAAGGAAACAACCTTGAAGGTAACATTCCTCCTGAGTTAGGCACTTTGTCTAATCTCTATCAACTGAGTCTTTCCAGAAATCATTTCTCTGGAAGCATTCCACCTTCACTTGGAAACCTCTCTGCTCTTCAAATTCTTGACCTTGCACACAACAACCTTCATGGAACCATTCCTATCGAGCTTGGACACCTCTCAAACTTACATGTATTCCAATTGTCTTCGAAAAATCTGTCTGGTATGGTTCCTGATCAGCTCTACAGCATCTCCACCATCCAAATTTTCTCGGTCACAAACAACTCATTGAGTGGAAATTCTCCATCCAATTTAGGCCTCACCCTTCCGAAACTCCAATTGTTCTTAGCCGATATAAATCAATTTTTTGGGTCCATTCCACCATCACTAGCCAAATGCTTCAGGCCTTGTCAAAATAAATATCGGAGACAATGATTTGACCGGGCCAATACCGTTAAATTTAGGAAGCCTTCAATATCTGCAAGTTTTACATATTGCCGGTAACCCACTTGGAACTGATAAGGCCAATGATATCAGCTTCCTAAATTAATTGTACCAATCTAAGAGTACTAAGTTTATCTAGAATTCAGATTGGTGGAAATTTACCCAATTCGATTGGAAATCTGTCCAGCACCCTCACATCGGTACGGTTGGATCAGAACTACATATCTGGAAACATACCTCAAGAGATTACAGAACTTGTTGGCTTATCTTACATCACGATAGATACAAACATGCTCACAGGTAGCATTCCTGATTCCATTGGCAAACTTACCAATTTACAAGAATTCTACCTTTTCACAAATAACATCTCCGGGGAAATTCCATACTCTATTGGCAACATCACTGGATTAACTTCTCTTATTTTAGAAGAAAATATGCTCGAGGGAAGCATACCTGTTTCTTTGGGTAATTGCAGTAACTTGCAAGGACTCCATCTTGCACAAAATCGCCTAACTGGTGGCATACCTGGAGAAGTCATTGGCCTGTCTTCGCTCTATCTTGGTTTCATCGTACGCCAGAACTATTTAACAGGACCATTGCCATCACAAGCTGGCAAGTTGGAGAATTTGGTATCACTGGATATTTCAGAAAACAAATTGTCTGGTGAAATCCCGAGTGCTCTTGGGAATTGTCTGATGTTGAACTCCCTGCATATGGACGATAACTTTTTTGAAGGAACCATTCCTTCAGAGCTAAAAAACTTGAAAGCCATTCAATTCATGGATTTTTCACGCAACAATTTGTCCGGGAATATTCCATTGTTCCTTGGGCAGTTGAATTTACTTGTCGATCTCAATCTTTCCTTCAACAATTTTGAGGGTGAAGTGCCAAACGGAGGAGTTTTCAAAAACATCACTTCATTTTCAGTTCTAGGAAATAGAAATCTATGTGGAGGGGTCAAGGAACTACAATTGCCCGCATGTCCCACAGAAAGGGTTAAAAAGCGTTCTACACGTAGAGTGATATTGGTCGCAATTGACATTGGAGTTTCCATCATTTTCTTGGTAGTATGTGTTTGTGCTGTTCTTTATCGATTAAGAAAGTCCAAACAACCCTCTGTGGTGTCAACAGAAGAAAACCAAAATCCGAAACTTTCTTATGCAGAACTACATCAATCTACCAATGGATTCTCTTTAGATAACTTGATTGGAAATGGAAGATATGGTTCTGTTTATAAGGGGATTCTCAATTTCGGTGAGCAAATTGTTGCTGTGAAAGTCCTTAACCTTCAAGAAAGTGGAGCAGACAAGAGCTTCTTGGCAGAATGTGAAGCATTAAGGAACCTCCGTCAAGGTCATCACCTCATGCTCAAGCTTAGATTTTAAAGGCAATGATTTCAAAGCTTTAGTCTTTGAGTTCATGTCAAATGGAAGTTTAGAGAGCTGGTTATATCCAAGTTCAACTGAGCAGAATCACACAAAAAACTTGAACCTAACCCAAAGGCTCAACATAGCAATCGATGTAGCCTCTGCATTGGAATATCTTCATCATCATTATGATATACCAGTCGCTCATTGTGATTTAAAGCCAAGCAATGTTCTTCTTGACAACAACCTCTATGCTCATGTAGGTGACTTTGGCCTAGCAAGATTTCTTTTTGCTGCCACAGGAAACTCCAACTACGCACAAAGCAGTTCAATTGGGATTAGAGGAACAGTTGGGTATGTCGCTCCAGGTAATTAAGATCCACTCAAATTTCATACATCTAATTTCTTTCCCAGGAGTGTTGGTTGAATTTATTGTTATTATTATTTCAATTTTTCTTGCCCTCCCAAATCCCATTTTAGCAGGAGCCTTGTTCAGCAGATTGTCCTTTTCATTATTGCAATTTCTCTTCTAGTATCATATGAATCTAAAGCATCATAGCGATGATGTTGGAGATATAACACCGCTATTTAGTCAGGTCATTTCCATGTGTACTTGAAATTAGTCCCTAAAAGACTATAAGTTTGGATATGTTGAAGAGGTTTACAAGTTCATGCTCTTATTTTTCCTTGGCTTTTCTATATTTCTTTTCTTCTTTTTTTCCTCCTTAAAATGCAGAATACAGTATGGGTGGTGACATATCAACACAAGGTGATTTGTACAGCTATGGAATCCTCTTACTAGAAATGTTTACAGGAAAAAGACCAACCAACGACATGTTTACAGACAATTTCAATCTCCATAGCTATGCTAAGATGGTTCTCCCACATAGAGTGATGGAAATTGTTGATCCACAAATCATAATGGAAGAGGAACACGGGTCTAGTAAGACCGGCCAAAGTTCTGAAGGCAAAGTAATAGAGGAATGCTTAGCATCGATATTTCAAATTGGAGTTTCTTGTTCTGCTGAAGGCCCAAGAGAACTGTTAATATATTTTATGTTAGTGTATATTAATGTATGCTTACTTTATGCTTACTTTAGTGCTAGTGCTGTTAGCCTTTCGGCTGTATGTAATAATAGTGCTTCGGCCACTCTCACTCCCTCTCCTATATAAGGAGCCCCTCACCATTTGTAATACACAACATTCAGAACATCAATCATAATACATACAATATATTCTCTCTCTATCAATTTATCTTACATGGTATCAGAGCTATAAGATTTAGGCCTGTATTTTGTTTTCTCACCAGCGGGCAGCCGGCCGGCAACCTTGCCTTCGCTGCCCGCTGGAATTTTAGAAACAGAGGATGAACCAGAGGGTGAAACCAAGCCATGCTCTGTCTCTGTTTTCCCTCAACAACAAAACAAAACAAAACAAAAAACAAAAAAAAAAAAACAAAAACAAACAGGGAAACCCAACCTCTCCCTTCTTCTTCTCAGATCAGATCTCAGCCAAATTCCTCCAATGGCGACATCAACCCCACGCGAAGAGAGCGTCTACATAGCCAAGCTGGCCGAGCAAGCCGAGCGCTATGAAGAAATGGTGGAATTCATGGAAAAAGTCTCCTCCACCGTCGTCGCATCCGAGGAGCTCACAGTGGAGGAGCGCAACCTCCTCTCCGTCGCCTACCAGAACGTGATCGGCGCTCGTCGTGTTTCGTGGCGGATCATCTCCTCGATCGAGTAGAAGGAGGAGTCTCGCGGCAACGCCGACCATGTCTCCACCATCAAGGACTACAGGTCCAAGATTGAGAACGAGCTCTCTTCGATCTGCAACGGCATTCTCAAGCTTCTCGAGACCAAGTTGATCCACCTCTACACCGCCGGAATCGATATCTGCCTCGTCGGCGACTCCGCCTCCATGGTTGTCCATGGCCACGACACCACCCTTCCGATCTCTCTCGACGAAATGCTCGTCCACTGTGAGGCACCTTCAAGAATCTCTGCTGGACCCAACAATTGCTGTCACCCAACACACCATTCCCACACACACGGTTTAAAGAGAGAGAGCAAACACACAACACACACACACGGTTTAGAGAGAGAGAGGACACACACTTCACACCACCAACTTCATCTTCTCACACACGGCTATCACAGAGCTAAACGGACCCAGCACACACACATAACACACCACACACGGCATCAACCTCCCGGCACCTCTTTCTCTGCAACTCCCTCTCTCTAGCTCTCTCTCTCGGCAGAGGGTTGGAGTACCAAAAAAAAAAAAAAAAAAAAAAAAAAAAAAACTCCTAAAAAAACAAAGGAAAAGGTACATGGGACATCACCATACACACGGACAGCACACATTGAGACATGCATCCAATGACTCTTTCTCTCACTTTACACCCACTCTTTTCCTTTCTTTTTATTTTAATATTGCCCACCGACTCTTCTTTTCTTTAAACACAAAACCACTCTTATTTTTTTTTTATTCCATTCTCCCCACACACAGCTCCCAACACACCCAGCCTCCTCTGATTTTTACTTTATTTTATTTTATATATATATATGTTTATATATTATCCTATCCCATCAGGGCTCAGAAACCACCTCTGATTTTTTTTATCTTTATTTTATTTCCTTCTCCACAAAAACCAAACCAACCACACAAACAAAAAAAAAATAATAATAATAATAAATAAATAAATAAATAAATAAAAACAAAAACAACCTCACTATTTTTTCTGCTCCACCAACCTCATGACCCCGTAAACTGTCCCGACATTGATTCCGATCAGCTTCTACAACGGTCCGGCATGACCCCGTAAACTGTCCCGACATTGATTCCGATCAGCTTCTACAACGGTCCGGCATGACCCCGTAAACTGTCCCGACATTGATTCCGATCAGCTTCTACAACGGTCCGGCATGACCCCGTAAACTGTCCCGACATTGATTCCGATCAGCTTCTACAACGGTCCGGCATGACCCCGTAAACTGTCCCGACATTGATTCCGATCAGCTTCTACAACGGTCCGGCATGACCCCGTAAACTGTCCCGACATTGATTCCGATCAGCTTCTACAACGGTCCGGCATGACCCCGTAAACTGTCCCGACATTGATTCCGATCAGCTTCTACAACGGTCCGGCATGACCCCGTAAACTGTCCCGACATTGATTCCGATCAGCTTCTACAACGGTCCGGCATGACCCCGTAAACTGTCCCGACATTGATTCCGATCAGCTTCTACAACGGTCCGGCATGACCCCGTAAACTGTCCCGACATTGATTCCGATCAGCTTCTACAACGGTCCGGCATGACCCCGTAAACTGTCCCGACATTGATTCCGATCAGCTTCTACAACGGTCCGGCATGACCCCGTAAACTGTCCCGACATTGATTCCGATCAGCTTCTACAACGGTCCGGCATGACCCCGTAAACTGTCCCGACATTGATTCCGATCAGCTTCTACAACGGTCCGGCATGACCCCGTAAACTGTCCCGACATTGATTCCGATCAGCTTCTACATCGGTCCGGCATGACCCCGTAAACTGTCCCGACATTGATTCCGGTCAACTTCTACAACGGTCCGGCATGACCCCGTAAACTGTCCCGACATTGATTCCGGTCAACTTCTACATCGATCCGGCATGACCCCGTAAACTGTCCCGACATTGATTCCGGTCAGCTTCTACAACGGTCCGGCATGACCCCGTAAACTGTCCCGACATTGATTCCGTTCAGCTTCTACATCGGTCCGGCATGACCCCGTAAACTGTCCCGACAATGATTCCGGTCAGCTTTTACAACGGTCCAACATGACCCCGTAAACTGTCTCGACATTGATTCCGATTAGCTTCTACATCGGTCCGGCATGACCTCGTAAACTGTCCAGACCTTATCTTCTCCAACGGTCTGACACGACCACACAGTGTCTTCAACAACGATCTGACACGACCATACAGTGTCTCCTATCCTATTTTATTTTTTAGTTTGTTTTCCTGTTTTGTTACTCTCTCCAAACTTAAGTTGGTTAATCCTCCTTGAGTTTGAGGGGGGCTGTTAATATATTTTATGTTAGTGTATATTAATGTATGCTTACTTTACGCTTACTTTAGTGCTAGTGCTGTTAGCCTTTCGGCTGTATGTAATAATAGTGCTTCGGCCACTCTCACTCCCTCTCCTATATAAGGAGCCCCTCACCATTTGTAATACACAACATTCAGAACATCAATCATAATACATACAATATATTCTCTCTCTATCAATTTATCTTACAAGAACGAATGGATATTAAAGATGTTCTCGTGGAACTACATAGGATTAGAAATGGACTAGTTCATGTTCAAAGATCGGGTGAGGAGGCAGATATAGCGACGACATCTTATTTGAAGACACGTATGTAGATTATGTTTATCTGATACAGTATGGAACTATGGATGTATTTGGTTTTTTTAGAGGGAAAACTATGGATGTATTTACAAGACTGATTTACTACATAAGCTTGTATTGGGTTCATCTAATTCTCATATACAAAGACACTAAGACATGGTTAGATTTCACATTTCTTAAATACTTCTTTTGACTTTCTTATGATAAAATGAGAGTTTTATGCATAGTTAAACTCAGCTACTGGGGCATACTAAAGCCAATATCTAAGGCAAGGATCAAGAACAAATTAATCCAATTAAGTCACAGAGCAGAATAAAAATCTAGGCAACCCACTTCCAATTCTTGAAATTGGTTTTCTTGGCCACCAAACAGAGGACAGAAAATTAACAAGTTGGAAGGGATCTGTTTGGTAGCAGAGAGCAATGCCAGAAAAGGAAGTGAAACTAACAATAAACAAATTATCTCAAAGCAACAATTCCTAGCTCTAAGTATTATTTCTTTCACATCTCGGTTTTATGAGCAACCCCCACAAAAAAATAACAATAATTGCTGAGGAAAGAAAAGAAACCGAATCAATTGAGGCCGTTCAATTGAGGCCATTCAGTTTTAACATTAGTTAGGAATAAATCAAATGCAGAGATTTCTACCAAAATAATAATAATAATAATAAATAAATGAGAAAATCTTTTTATGTACCACAATATACCTATGTCCATGTTTATAAATGTGAATAAATAAATGAGAATTTCCCAAGATATATATATACACACACAAGTATGTACAGAGAGAGTGTACATGTGCTCTGCTGTGAGGCCATTTCAAGGTGCTCTTCCAAATCTGCTCTCAACTCAACAATCACTCTCTTTGGTTAGTGTTTGAAATTCATCAAAATATTGATTTCATAAAAAAGCGTCATTTCATTTTATTTTATTTTATTTCATTTCATCTTATTCTAATGAAATAAACATACGTTTAGTGCTTAAAATAAAATTTTCAAATTTGAAATTCCCATTTGTATAGTACAATAGTGGTCATTCATAGAAAAAAATTACAATCTAATGTAGTGCCAAAAAAATAATTATGGAATCATTAAAAAAACTTACTTTACTAATGTTAGATAAAGTTTTTCACTCATTTATAATTATTTTTGTAGGAATACACTGACATGTAATATTTTTAAAAATTAAGTTCATCTGATAATCGTAAATTTTTTTCTTTTATCATGTTTGTTTTCAAAAAAATAAACGACAAGTATGTTTTTAAAAAGTGATCATCTATTTTTTTAAGATAAACACAATAAAATAAAAACGATATCATTCTCAACACAATTTTTTTTTGATGACATACATAGAGATTCTTATAAAATAAATAATTCAAATCATCGAACTTTATCAAATTTATTCTTTAAAAGTGGTATGTGCAATATACACGTTATTATGTATTTTTTAAAAACATATGACATAATTATTATAATTTATGATTTATTATATATATATATATATATTTTTAATTTTATAGTTACATATTTTTGTAGTAATAATTTTTCATCAAAATATTTTTATTAAAAAAAGGGGGGCAAAATTAAGACAAATTTGTTGGAATTTTGAAGGAGCATGACACGAGCCCTATTACTTGATTTTCCTGTGCATCTCAGCACTGTCTCTTCCTCAATTAGGCGGTTCGCGCTCTCCTTACGGCGCCAAATTCAAGAGATTCTGTTTTTCCTGTTTGCTTACGATTCAAGGTAAAATATGTATCTATATACAATTTTGTCTATATAAATATTAGAGCTCTTAACCTGAACTTCCCATCTGTTTGTTTCCAAGGAAAAAGCTCGTGAATTTAAAAACACCCAGAATTTTGTTGAAAATTATCGTCACATATCCTCCTCTATTAGCTTCGGAAAACCAAAATTCACACACTTTTGTACGTGTTATTCTCGTATATTTTCATGTTACAGGCGTCTATTCAGTTGATGTTTGTGGTTTGAATCCATGTTCTTCAAGCTAGAAGTTACTTTAATGCTTACTTTGATCTATTATGTCTAAGTTAGGGTATTATGGAGTATAATTTTTTGCCCTAGTGATTGTTTTTAAAACATTTTAGCAGTTGAATTGTCAATTTAGACAAAAATAAGAATAATAATCATATTGGGTCTTGGGGTGTGCTCCCCTCCAAGGTTCAAGATCAAAACCTCTTAGATGCTAACAATGCTAACAATTTTTTGGAGCCATCAGATTTTGAGAAAATCCTTGAATTAACCGTGGTGCACTTGTGGGAAATTCCTTGTTGAGGGCTATGCACCTTTGGGAATTAGTCAGGCATTGATCCAGACACCACAGGACCAGTCAAAAATAAATAAATAAATACTCATATATAATGGGAGAGAATAACATGAAAAGAAATATTTGTATTTTGTGGTGAAGAATGATATTCCTATTTTGTATCCTGAATGATTTTTTTTTTTTTTTTTTTTTTCTCCTTTTTTTTTTTTCTTTGTTTATTTTTTTTTTTTCCCACAAGAAAGATCAAAACCTCTTAGATGCTAACAATGCTAACAATTTTTTGGAGCCATCAGATTTTGAGAAAATTCTTGAATTAACCGTGGTGCACTTGTGGGAAATTCCTTGTTGAGGGCTATGCACCTTTGGGAATTAGTCGGGCATTGATCCAGACACCACATGGCCAGTCAAAAATAAATAAATAAATACTCATATATAATAGGAGAGAATAACATGAAAAGAAATATTTGTATTTTGTGGTGAAGAATGATATTCCTATTTTGTATCCTGAATGATTTTTTTTTTTTTCTCTCTCTCTGTTTCTTTCTTTAGCTATTTTCTTTTTCCCCACAAGTAAATATAAGTTGTTGGATGTCTTCTCTTTGTTGTGGGGTACTTTCATTTGGAGATATTTATGTGTGGTTGAGAGAGATTGTGTTTGAAGTTCAAGTATAAAGAGGATTTGTTGGGGCAGTTTTATGATGGGGGAGAGTTTGAATTGGAATTAAATGTGTCTGAATGTCATATTCTGATTAAAAACTTCGTTTTCTTTTACAAATTATTCTATGAACTAGGAGTCAGTGGTGTTCAATGTTTATGCAATAATTTGATATCAATTTGGATTCAATCTGGGCATGAACTTGTTGATTTCTTGCCCCTTTTGGGTGTGATGTGAACAGAAGTTTATAATGTCTAATGTAATACTTCTGTGAACTTTCAGCAGGCTGATTGAGGAAAATGGTTTCTGGTTTAATCAATGCCAATCCCATTGTGTATGAAAAGAAGGAACGCCGAGCTAGAACTGAACCTGGTGATGTGGATGAGTATGCTGTGGAGGCCATTGACCAACTAGAAATTTTTGATATCCTTTCAGTTTGATTACATTTGATGCTCTCTAATGTCCACTGTGTCTTCCTGGTTTTATATCTCGGAATTCATAGCTTTATTTGCTAAGCTTTGTTGGGATTGAAATTCACATGTATAGAAATGTTCTAGAAAGGAATCTGTAGTTTAGGTGTGTTGATCAAACTCTTGTGATCCGTCTTCAGTTTTCTTGTCTTTATTTGACCTGTATTTCTCAAGGAGCTTTTATTAGAATTCAGTTTCAATTGAACCCCTTGGAGTGGCATTCCAATTTCACAATATTAATGAGGAAAATGCCTCTAAAGTGTTGTGATGCTAATACTAAGAGACCAAAAAGTTTACTCTACTACAAGCACATGCATTGAAGTGGTTTAGGTACTTGTATGGGGAGCAAATATTCCGCAGAGCCCGTACTCCTTTCTACCAAGCTCCTTGTCTGTCCGATCGACCTGCGAACACAACGGCGGTGAGCTACCCGACGGTGTGTGGCCGGAAAACCCCTCCGATAGTCAAGTTAGCACACACTCAGAGATAGAGAGAGAGAGAGGAAGAGAGTTGAGTGTTTAGGTTGTTCTCACCCAATGATCTTCCATGCCTAGCATGGGGGGCGCAGTCATGCTTATACACTTTTCTGCGCTCACCTCTGCATCCATTCGCTCATTGACACGTGGAGCTGCTCTCCCATCTGTCAGCACAAATTCAGCCAAACATCACCTAATCAAACCACTAATTGACATCGGCGGGAATGGGCAGTCCGGCGTAATTATCTTGGCCTCCTTCGACCGAGCTACTTATCGAGCCTAACAATGCCACTCGTTGAGCTCCATCACAACCGAGCTCTGTAGCACCCCAGTACGGCCGAGCTCCAGACAGGTTTAGCCGGTCCAAGGGAGATCTTTCCGCCGAGCTACATGCACGACCATAAGACCCGGATCGACAGATGATCATCTCGGCTTCCTTCGACCGAGCTACTTATCGAGCTCAACAGTGCCACTCACTGAGCTCCATCACAACCGAGCTCAGCAGCACTCCAGTGCGACTGTGCTCTAGACAAGTTAGGCCGGTCTGCGGCAGATCACGATCACCGAACTAAAAAGAGCGAACAAGAGAAGACAAGCTGGCAGAGGATCTTCTCGGCCTACTCTGGTTTGGACTTCGGCCGAGCAAGCTTCACCTCGGCTGGGCCACATTCAGCCCGGCCAGAACCGCAGCCCAAATACGCTTGGACCACATTCAGCCCGGCCAGAACCGCAGCCCAAGCCGAGATTACGAAAATCCCCCTCTCAATCGCCCCTTAATTCCGTCTGCGCTAGCGTGACTGGGATTACATTACAAGGCCGGGCTATGCTTTTTGCTCGATGATCCACTTTGCTCGGTTTAGGAACTCCAAGGCGAGCAAGGTCCGCTCCGCGACTTGTTTTTTGGCTGCAAGATCAGCTCGGCAAGGAACTCCAAAGAAGGCAAGCAAGGTCCGCTTCGCGACTTCCTTCTTGGCGAGCAAGATCAGCTCGGCAAGGAACTCCAAAGAAAGTGAGCAAGGTCCGCTCCACAACTTTCTTCTTGGCGAGCAAGATCAGCTCGACAAAGAACTCCAAGGTCAGCGAGCAAGGTCCACTCAGCGACTTGCTTCTTGGCGAGCAAGATCAGCTCGGCAAGGAACTCCAAAGTCGGCGAGCAAGGTCTGCTCTGCAACTTCCTTCTTGGCGAGCAAGATTAGCTCGGCAAGGAATTCCAAGGTCGGGGAGCAAGGTCTGCTTGGCAAGGAACTCCAAGGCGAGCTAGGTCCGCTCCGCGACTTGCTTCTTGGCGAGCAAGATCAGCTCGGCAAGGAACTCCAAAGAAGGCGAGCAAGGTCCGTTCCGCGACTCCCTTCTCGGCGAGCAAAGTCAGCTCGGTAAGGAACTCCAAGGCGAGCTAGGTCCACTCCGTGATTTGCTTCTTGGCAAGAAAGATCAGCTCGGCAAGAAATTCCAAGAGCGGGAGCAAGGTCCGCTCCGCGACTTGTTTCTTGGCGAGCAAGATCAGCTCGGCAAGGAACTCCAAAGAAGACGAGCAAGATCCGCTCCGCGACTTTCTTCTTGGCAAGCAAGATCAGCTCAGCAAGGAACTCCAAGGTCGGCGAGCAAGGTCCGCTCGACGATTCCCTTCTTGCCGAGCAAGGTCAGCTCGGCAAGGAACTCCAAGGTCGGCGAGCAAGGTCCGCTCCACGACTTCTTTCTTGGGGAGCAAGATTAGCTCGGCAAGGAATTCTAAGGTCGGCGAGCAAGGTCCGCTCGGCGACTCCCTTCTTGGCGAGCAAGGTCTGCTCGGCAAGGAACTCCAAGGCGAGCTAGGTCCGCTCCACGACTTGCTTCTTGGCGAGCAAGATCAGCTCGGCAAGGAACTCCAAAGAAGGCGAGCAAGGTCCGCTCCGCGACTCCCTTCTCGGCGTGCAAGGTCAGCTCGGCAAGGAACTCCAAGACGAACAAGGTCCGCTCCGCGATTTGCTTCTTAGCAAGCAAGATCAGCTCGGCAAGGAACACCAAAGAAGGCGAACAAGGTCCGCTCCGCGACTTGCTTCTTGGCGAGCAAGATCAGCTCGGCAAAGAACTCCAAAGAAGGTGAATAAGGTCCGCTCCACGACTTTCTTCTTGGCGAGCAAGATCAGCTTGGCAAGGAACTCCAAGAACGGGAGTAAGGTCCGCTCCGCGACTCCCTTCTTGGCGAGCAACATCAGCTCGGCAAGGAATTCCAAAGTTGATTAAAACCATCAACAAATCTCTTGCCGAGTAAAATTCATCCGACAAGGAATTCCAGAGTTGATAAATCATCAACAAACCTCTTGTCGAGCAAAATCCAATCGGCAAGGAATTCCAAAGTTGATCAAAACCGTCAACAAACCTCTTGCCGAGCAAAATCCGACCGGCAAGGAATTCCGAAGTTGATCAAAACCATCAACAAACCTCTTACCGAGCAAAATCCGACCGGCAAGGAATTCCAAAGTTGAACAAAACCATCAACAAATCTCTTGCCGAGCAAAATGCGCCCTGCAAGGAATTTTGATCTTTCCGTCAAAATGATTGTTAGTTGCCCCTTGGGCCGCACTAAATCCGCTTAGCGAGGCAAAAATACAACAATTCTCAAGAAAATGGTCTGCTTGTTTCATTGTGCCAATGGCAAAAAGGGTTACAAAAATAGAACTAAGAACAAAACTTTAGATTGGCAGAGTTCGATGTTTTGAAAATGGATCGGCCATTTACATTCTGCGAGTTTTATGCCCCTTTTCCTCGGCCTTCTTATAGACGTCTTCCAAAAACTGAACTCCCTATATCTCTTCCATGGTGGTTTGCATGGCCATCATCTTGTCTGACTGCGTGAACCTTTCGCACTACTCTCTTATTCTCTACTACCGGACTTGTCATCACGGTAGCTGCGGCTGCATCGTCTTCAACTCAGATGTGCTCATTGATGCGCTGCATTAGTTGGCCAATGGATGTCGGCTGGTTCATGGTAAGCGAGTCCCGCAGCCTATGTCCGACCGGGAGACCGCGCTTATATTGGGTGATTGCCAGGTTGATCGGGCAATCTAAAATCTCATTGAAGGTTTCCCAGTATCTGGAGTTGTACGCCTTGAGTGTGTCGCTCGACTCCATTTTGACACTGAGAAGGTGGTCCACCTCCTTCGGCGTTTTAGTGTTTGTCTTGTAACGAGTTACAAAGGCTTTCGCCAACTACTGCAACCATTCGATACTTTCCTCCGGCAGCTTCTCAAACCATTTCAAGCCCAGCTCGCCCAAACTCGACGGGAAGATTAGGCACATAAAAGCGTTATTCCGCCTATGTCCGGCCATGACCTGTCGGAAGTGGCTTACATGCATGTAAGGATCGGTCTTCCCATCGTAGAGTGTAAACTTGGGCTGGTGAAAGCCCGCGGGGAGCGGCGTTATTTCTATCTCCAGGGAGAAGGGGGTGGCGTTCAGCCTCGCCAAATCTGTGTCTAGAGGGACGGGCACGGCTGGGTGTGGTGGCGGCATTATGACCTCCTCACTGGCGTAACCCTCATAAGATAGCCGCTGGAGCGCCGGCACCCTTTGAGTCTCTCGCCGACGAGCCCGCTCCTTCAAGACAACCCGCAAGTCCTCTGAGCGAGCGGAGTAGGAATACCTCGACGTCATCGCCGGACGTGAGGGTTGGTAGGTACTATCTTGCACGCTAGACTTCTCTACAGGCGCGTCGGAATCTCCAATCCTGTAACTTCTGGTGATAGAAAGGGAGGGAGTTTGTCGTTGGCTCTGACTGCCTAAACGGCGTGGTTGGGTGCGCTCACTGTGGTCTCCCACTCCAGCAACACCCTTCCCCCTTGACATGCCGTTTCAGAGCTTCCATCTCCGCCGCCATTCTTCGGATGACGGTGTCCTGGTCCCTTAGCTTGTGCTCCAGACGTCTGGCGTGCAATTCTCTTCGCCGCCAGTGTCCGTCTGGGCTCCGCGAGTGACCAAAACTTCTAGCGCGCTTATCTCGCGTATCTCTTGAATGTCCTCCAGGGGAAGTCTCCAGGTCTGCCATGTTCAGAACGGCGGGGAGTCCGTCTCTCCGTCTGGCTAACTCCAGGGTAACACCGTCAATGGCAGACAACGGTATTTCGTCGTTATTTGCCATGGAAGGCGATCAGATGAACTTGGAAGACAAGGTTTTGTCTATCAAGATTCCCACAGACAGTGCCAATTGTACGGGGAACAAATATTCCGCAGAGCCTGTACTCCTTTCTACCAAGCTCCTTGTCTGTCCGATCGACCTGCGAACACAACGGCGGTGAACTACCCGGCGGTGTGTGGCCAGAAAACCCCTCCGACGGTCAAGTTAGCACACACTCAGAGATAGAGAGAGAGAGAGGAAGAGAGTTGAGTGTTTAGGTTGTTCTCACCCAATGATCTTCCATGCCTAGCATGGGGGGTGCAGTCATGCTTATACACTTTTCTGCGCTCACCTCTGCATCCATTCGCTCATTAACACGTGGAGCTGCTCTCTCATCTGTCAGCACAAATTCGGCCAAACATCACCTAATCAAACCACTAATTGACATCGGCGGGAATGGGCAGTCCGGCGTAATTATCTCGGCCTCCTTCGACCGAGCTACTTATTGAGCCTAACAATGCCACTCGTTGAGCTCCATCACAACCGAGCTCTGTAGCACCCCAGTACGGCCGAGCTCCAGACAGGTTAGGCCGGTCCAAGGGAGATCTTCCCACTGAGCTACATGCACGACCATAAGACCCGGATCGGCAGATGATCATCTCGGCCTCCTTCGACCGAGCTACTTATCGAGCTCAACAGTGCCACTTGCTGAGCTCCATCACAACCGAGCTCAGCAGCACTCCGGTGCGACTGTGCTCCAGACAAGTTAGGCCGGTCTGCGGCAGATCACGATCACCGAGCTAAAAAGAGCGAACAAGAGAAGACAAGCTGGTAGAGAATCTTCTCGGCCAACTCTGGTCTGGACTTCGGCCGAGCAAGCTTCACCTCGGCTCGGCCCAACCCAGCTCAGCCCAAATACGCTTGGACCACATTCAGCCCGGCCAGAACCGCAGCCCAAGCCGAGATTACGAAAATCCCCCTTTCAGTACTTATTCTAAAACAATGTACAAATTTAATTAGAAATAGCAGCATCTCTGAGGTGTTGTTCTTGAATTTTGTAACAATGGGGTGCTCTCTCTCTCTCTCTCTGATTTAAGCTCCATGCAATTGTGCATATATATAGACATGTCTATGCATGTTTTATTGAGAGAGGCTTCAAAAGCAAATTGTGGAAATTGGAAAGGTATATCCACTCGTCATATTTACTTGTAAAACTTTATGTGTGTTTGTGTGTGTATTTATGCATAAACTCATCAACTCTGTTTGACGGGGCCTGCATCTTAACCACTTGGGGTCAATTATCACAAAATCTTCTTCCCCATTCAGCCCATCTAGGGAGTAGGGACATATATCTAAGAATCACACACAAACATTTCTCGAGTATATATGTGAACATATCGCATAAAACCAGTGTATATTTTGGTTGGAACTTGGAAGCATAAGTGTACATTTTTTGGCATTGCATTATTGTTTTTCTCCTCACTTTTTTGTCTTGAGTTTGTTCCTGGGATATGATTAGGCACTAAGCCTTATCATATAAGTATGAGAGGTATAGTACCAAACCAAATTGTACAAGGAAGCTAAGTATTTTTGGAACTCTGAGATTTTCTTAACATTCTCAAATCATCTTAGAGACATAAAAGATCCGGAGCATCCTTATTCATTGGAAGAGCTGAAAGTTATAACAGAAGATGCAATTGAGGTAGATGACAAGCATAACTGTGTGAGGTAGAAACAAATTCCCTGTATTGTTGAAATTTTTTATTCTCATGTTGGGTCTCATTCTCCAGTCATCTAAATTAAAAATGGTTCTCTGATTCAGGGTGACATTCACTCCAACAGTTGAACATTGCAGTATGGCAACGGTGATCGGCCTTTGCTTGCGAGTGAAACTCATGCGCAGCCTGCCTTTGCATTATAAGGTATGACTTTTATTCTAGCATGGATAGCTTGGTTAACAACATCATGGGTCTTTGTTGCGTATTTAGATGAGTACCATAAGAGAACATTGGGACTTGGGAGTTGATAAAGTTATTAATCCAATTCCCGTAGTCAAAAGTGCTGTTGTGCCTGAATATATGTGGAAGGATGAAAGTTGATAGGAGAAATTCCCTTCTCTGACTTGATTACAAACTGACTTGCACTGCCGGAGCTTATGTACCATTCTTGCATGTGCTACCCCTATTTTATTTATTTATTTATTTATTTTTCTCTTATTTGAGTAGGTGAATAGCAATGCACAGACCTCTAAAGATTGGTGTATGAGAGGCTTTTCATGGTTAAAGGTTCTCAGGGTTATACCTGGGTATGTGGGATGTGGGTGTGTGTCAAAATAAACAGTAAGGAAGGGAAAAGTAGGCAGTAGAATAGCATATTCACCGCCTAATAGTCACTCCAGGCCACGAAACATGTTCTGCAGCCAAAGCCTTACCGCAGCAGGAAAAGCATATGTATACACATATACACACAGTATATGTTAAGCTTAAAGTTCCAAAGTTCTGGGTTTAGAGTCTTACCTTCTTTCTTAATAATATTATGTATAGACTTACTAATTCCCCCAAAAATTGAATTAGCAAAAATTGTCTGAAACTTCAGTTGAAAAATCCAACAAGTGATGCTTTTGGTAAAATTAACAATATAAAACAGCCTTCAATTTTGCTTTTCAATATAATAAATAATACAGCCTTCAGTTTTAGGTTGTCTTACTCTTTCTTCACATCTCTTGTTACTGTTCCAGGTGGATATCAGGGTAGCACCTGGAACTCATGCAACTGAAGCTGCAGGTTTCTCTCTCTCTCTCTCTCTCTCTCTCTCTCTCTCTCTCAGACATGTATGTGTTGCTATCATCTCTGTGGTATACATCTAATTATACGAAAAGCGCCTTGTGGCCCACTATTAATTCTACAAACTCGCCAGGTCAAGTTTGTAAAGAGTTTGAGACATCAATTCAGGTCTTCTTCGTGGAACGCCTTCAATCTATCATCTTCCTATTAAACAAATAAACTAAACATATAACCTCCATCTTTGTGATTACACAATCCATCTTTAACTGAATATGAAGTTTCTTTAAGCTTCATTGACCAAGTGGAGGCTGTCTCTCGGTAATGTTTCCTTCATCTACTCCTAAAGAGCAATATCATTAACTTAATGTATTTAATGCAATCGTGGTTATCAAAATTGTGATTGGGATTGTAAGATCTCCTAAATTGTTAAAATGATCCAAATTCTTGTAGGATTGGTGTTATTGCATGATCGGAAGTAGGATTGTGTAGGTCTAAAGTAGGATCACTAGATTTGTAACTTTTTGCATTATTTTTTATATGTATCATCTTAATTTGTATTTTAACCTTATTTTTAATGGAAAATAGTATCTTACAGTCCTTGATCCAATCCATGAGACCCTCGTACCGATTTTACGTAGGATTCCGATTTTAATAGCCTTGAATGCAATGTGATCTGAGTTGGTGATTATCAATTTATAATGCTGAGTCACTCTGTAATCCTAAATCTTATAAAAAGATTTATGATGTTTGTTGTGCACCTTTCTGTTGACAGTGAATAAACAGTTGAATGATAAAGAACGGGTGGCAGCCGCTTTGGAAAATCCCAACCTTGTAGATATGGTTGATGAATGTCTGGCTCCATCTTATGCTTGAAAGGGTACCATCCATACATGTACTGTTTGATTACATCTGATGCTTTCTTGGTATCAAATCTTGTTCTACTCCCAAATTACACATTTTTCCTTTTTTAATTTTTTGTTGGATTTGTTAGCATGCGAGTATGGTTGATCCTCGTTTGGCAACTCACTATTTTAGCCTAAAAGTAAAAAAGTGACTAAAAAAATTAAAAAACAAATAACATATACCAAAAAGTCAAAGATTCTCTTTTTCTTTTTACTTTTTGCATATTTTTTCGTAAAAAATCAAAAAGTCATTCCAAACATGCTAATTTTTTTTATCTCATACTTTAATCAAAAAAACTAAAAAATTATTAAAATAACATGTTTTCAAACGAGACCAGTGTTGTGAGAAATAATAGTCATTAGTTAGTGAGCTGATCATTGTTCTGTGTTCTTCCCATTTATTCTTTATTTCTTTGCAATTTTGCTGTTTTTGTACCATAAAGATAATATTTAAATTACTTATTGCAATTCTAGATAATCCAAATTAAAGTAGCCTGTTATGCTTTTGTAGCCTTTATGTTTTTTGTTCTTTAACCAAAACCAAAAAATAATGAACGAATCTCTTGCAGTAATTCTTAAAAGCTTGATTTTGTTTCTTCTTCTTATTTTTATTTGTGTTTTGTCTCTCCGATATTTATTTTGTGTATCAACTCCTAAAATCTTGGGGAACCATGACCAAATTACTTAAGCTATAGTAACTTGGGCTTGAGCTGAATTCAATCAGCGTGTATTCAGAACTGAAATATGGCAGCACAAAACATTATAAAAATCACTGAACAAAATGCAAAAGATGATCAGATAGGTCCGTAACATTGGGCCTTTAAGTTTTTCTTGGATACACCATCAAAATTCAAAATCCGGAGACAAAATGTCTACTTATTTACTGATTTTTATTTTAAGCGAGAAGTTTCCATAAATAAGCTGCATCAAACAAGAAACAATTATACAATTATGTTATTCAGGTATCTCAGAATTTACTCATAACTGAGATGAATACAGTGACACAACAGAAAACTACGATGATGATCTTGTCATCTTGTTCATTTCATCTCTCTTTTTCCGAGATAAACATCTCTAATCACTTGTAGTTCATTGAGAGCATCACCAATATTCATTCTTTCACTTGGTAAATCTGCAGAACACATTACTCCAATTTGAAGGATTCATCCCAAGCACTTCAGTGTCCTAACAACATTGCCTCTGCTGCTTCCAGTAGTCCTATTTGATTCAGTTGGTCCTTCCGATATCAGTGAGGGATCAACAATCTCCATCACCTGCTCAGCAGCAGCCATCTTAACATGGTTATGGAGATTGAAATTGTCTGTAAACATGTTGTCTGTTGGTCTTTTTCCCGTGAACATCTCCAGTAAAACAATTCCATAACTATACACATCACCTTTTATTGATGCTTCCCCACCTACAGCATATTCTGCAAGTAGAAACAATCGTAACAGTTTGATATTATTTTTGTTTTCTTCATTTTCGTATCATATTTTTAATTTTTGTACATTAACATTTTTTAAAAATTTGAAAATAACCTTTTGGTGATGTCCAAAAAGTTGGTTTTTTGAGAAAAATTTCCAGAAACAGTTAGCAAAATATTTTTTTTTTGTGTTTTTTAGAAAATGAAAACACGAAACACTTAATAAACAAATAACAATACCGGACTTTGATCCTATGTAATGGAAGATTTCTGTTACGTATCTAATGACTATAAAATAAGAACGCAAATTTATGATTATGGAAAGATCATTACACTTACCGTTAAATAATATGATGGAGCCTCTCCATTACTAACATGCAATAGAGCAAGGGGCTAAACTTCCAGAAAATTCTAAGATCAGTATTTTGGCAGATTAAAAAGCTTTTGACATCACATGAAAATTTAGTATATTCAATTTAATTGCAGCTGCAATTGAATACTGATTAATCTCGTTATGTAAAAGGTAGTCTTTTCCAAATATGAGGTTCAAATAATGTAACTGAATTCGCATAGTTTGATACACATACTGATCTTTTTAGTGTAAAACAAATTTAGAGTGAGAACTTTAACAAAAGAACTATAAAATTCATAAAATTACCTGGAGCCATATATCCAATTGTTCCTCTAATTCTACTTGAAGTACTGCTGTGTGTATGAGTGGATGCACTGGTCTCGGTCAGACAAATTCTTGCCAAACCAAAATCGCTTACACGGGCGGAGAGATCATCATCAAGAAGAACATTGCTCGGTTTCAAGTCACAGTGAATGACAGGTGTTTCACAGTGGTTGTGAAGATAATCCAATGCAGAGGCTACATCAACTGCAATATTAAGCCTTTGAACAAGGCTCAAGTTCCTGGAGTCCTCCTCGTTTGCTGATCTAGAATGTAGCCAGCTCTCAAGACTCCCATTGGATTTGTATTCAAAGACCAAAGCCTTGAACTCATTGCCTTTGAAGTCTATGCTTGAGCAAGCAGTGATTATCTTAACAAGATTTCGATGTCGGATGTTCCTCAATGCTTCACATTCTGCCAAGAAACTCTTGCTGGCTCCCCTTACTTGAAGATTGAGTACCTTGACTGCAATTGCTCTTATAGTTTCAGAATTGAGAATCCCTTTGTACACAGTACCGTAGCTTCCCTCGCCAATCAAATTTCTTGAGGAGAATCCTTCAGTTGCCTGAAGAAGTTCTGCATAAGAAAGATTTGGGTACTGGTTCCCAAGAGACAAGGTTGAAATTGTTTTCACTTTCAACCTTTTTTTCCAATACAGAGTCACACAAATGCATGCGAGCAGCAAAATGATGCAGACAGGAACACTAATTGCAATGATTAGTACTCTATTGGATAAATGCTTTTTTTGTTTCTTCAAAATTTTTGTGGGACATGCGGGCAATTGCAATGCTTTATTTCCTCCACAAAGCTTGTTATTTCCCGTAATTGAGAATGCACTGATATTGCTAAACACTCCTTCACTAGGAACTTCACCCTCAAACCTGTTATAGGAAAGGTTGAGCTATTGAATCAAAGACAAATCACCTAGAAAACTCGGAATCTTGCCAGACAAACTATTATGAGAAAGGTCTAGCATTTGAAGTCCCCTTAATTGTTTAAAAGATGGTGGAATGGTACCTTCAAAATGGTTACCCTCCATATTAAGAAATTCCAGCACTAGACAATCACCAAGAGTGCTTGGAATGTTTCCTGATAGTTGGTTTCTTGAAGCATGGAATAGCCCAATATTTTTCATATAACTCACTTCTGATGGTAGTGGTCCTGCTAGGAAATTCTGAGCTACAGAGAGGCCTAGAGTGAGTGAAGGAAGTCCAACAATTTGTCTGGGTATCATACCGGTAAGGCGATTCTGTGAAAGATCCAGTCCTTGTAGATTCGTGCAATTTCCCAAAGAAACTGGTATACTTGCATCTAGCATATTTTGATTCAATTCAAGAATACTGAGTTTTGACATGTTACCAAAGGTGGCTGGAATCTTCCCTGAGATTTTGTTGTTGCTCAGATAGACCTCTTGCATCATTTTAAATTTTCCAATGGAATTGGGAATGTTGCCAGTGAGATGGTTGTCATTTAATGTAAGCAGATCCAAGTTGACAATTTTCCCAATTTCCGGAGGTATGCTTCCTGATATGTAGTTCTGATCCAAATTCAGTCCTACGAACTTGGTGGACATATTACCAATCAAAGTGGGCAACACACCTCCAAGCTGATTGTTATACAGAACCAACCACCTGAGTTTGGTGCAGTTAGTCAAGGTGGTGAGAAAGTGCAAGTCATTCGCTTTCTCAGCCGCAAGCGGATTACCCCCAAATTGTAAAACTTCAAGTTGTTGAAGATCACCCAAGTTCTGTGGTATGCCCCCAGTGAAAGAATTTTCAGCAAAAGAAATCAGTATGAGACCTGATGCATTGGCCAGCGAGCCAGGAATGGTCCCAGAGAACCAGTTTGCTCCCATCAAAATTGTTTCAAGTTTTGGAAAAACGAGGCCTAGATTAGGGGGCAAGCTTCCATGGAATTGATTTGAGGCTAGAGCTAGATAATGGATTTTAGAAATGTTGAAAAGAGCAGAAGGAATCGTACCAGTCAGCTTGTTATCAGACAACTGAAGCACTTCTAAGTTTGAGAGCTTTCCAAGTTCAATTGGAATTTGGCCTTGTAAATTGTTGGTTAACATATAAAGCCAACGTAGAGCCGAGAGGTTCCCAAGTGCTGGTGGGATTGTCGCAATAAAGTGATTCAGAGTTAGGTCTAAATATTCAAGCTTGGGCAGAGAACCGAGCTGAGTAGGAACCTTCCCGCTGAGATTGTTCTTGATTAAATTGATGACTCTAAGGTCTGAACAATGTGTCACATTAACAGGAAATTCTCCCTTGAAAGAGTTGTTTCCAAGATAAAGTGACCGAACTCTGAACAATCGACCAACTGCTTGTGGAATCACTCCATGGAAGTTGTTGTCCACAAGGTCGATCACTCGAAGGAAGGTAAGGTTTCCTATGTGAGGAGACAAGGAACCTGATAATTTAAGTGATGAAAGGTTTAGAGCGCACACTCTCTGGTGATGCCTCTGACTGCAAGTAACTCCTTGCCATTTGCAGAAATGATGAGAACTGTTCCATGAGCTAAAGACCTTGAAAGGATCTTCCTGTATTCCATTCTTGATGGCTAGCAAAGCTTGCATATCTGTCTCATTTGTGAAACCAAAAGTGGGAACAGAGTTCATGTAAAAGATAATAATAATGTAAGGGAAAAGCAAGAAGGAACTTGGCCTGTAAAGCATGGTGTTCTGCTCCATCTTGTGTTTTAGAAGATGAAAGGAAAAAATAAAAGGAGAAGGGTAAAAGTTTTTGCCAAAATTCATAGCAAGCCTACTCATTATTTGAGAGAATTCGTTGGGTTAAGTCCATCTATTGAGCTTGATTATCCTTATGTTTCTGCAACCACTCAAAATGACTTGAAAAATGTGACCCTGATGTACCCTTCTTACTGAAAATGTGACTATCCTTATGTTGAGACAAGGAACCTGATAATTTAAGTGATGAAAGGTTTAGAGCGCACACTCTGTGGTGATGCCTCTGACTGCAAGTAACTCCTTGCCATTTGCAGAAATGATGAGAACTGTTCCATTAGCTAAAGACCTTGAAAGGATCTTCCTGTATTCCATTCTTGATGGCTAGCAAAGCTTGCATAACTGTCTCATTTGTGAAACCAAAAGTGGGAACAGAGTTCATGTAAAAGATAATAATAATGTAAGGGAAAGGCAAGAAGGAACTTGGCCTGTAAAGCATGGTGTTCTGCTCCATCTTGTGTTTTAGAAGATGAAAGGAAAAAATAAAAGGAGAAGGGTAAAAGTTTTTGCCAAAATTCATAGCAAGCCTACTCATTATTTGAGAGAATTCGTTGGGTTAAGTCCATCTATTGAGCTTGATTATCCTTATGTTTCTGCAACCACTCAAAATGACTTGAAAAATGTGACCCTGATGTACCCTTCTTACTGAAAATGTGACTATCCTTATGTTTCTGCAACCACTCAAAATCACAACATGCTCGTAATAACGTGTACGCGGGGTTCCCAATCAATGAGGCCGTGCAAAAAACGTAAAATTGATATTGACCTTGTCTCTCACCCAGTTAATCAAGGTGGATCAAGTAGACTCCACTCATTTTTCTAAACATAATGTCATCAGTTTGGTGATTTCAAATCTAACGACTGTTCGTCATTGTACAACAGGATTAAATTTTATGTGATTGGATACAAATGAGATTGTTAATAGGATTATATGATAAGTTATACCAGTATTAGATGGGATAAATGATTTGATATATGAATTATGAGAATAAATTATACTAAGAAATTGGATAAAGCCATGGAAACATCAATCACTAATAATGTGATTACGGTCTGTAAATTGTGTGTCTAACTTGATTAGATAACAAATTGTAATTGTGACTCTTGATGTCGGTTATAATGGGTAGTGCCACTATACACACCTACCCGCCCTGCTTTAGTGTGTGTATAATGAGTTATAATTAAACACCACATAAAATATAATAAAGAGTATTTTGATCATAATTAAAATAATATTCACAATAAATCATAATTAATATCACAATAACTGAGACATTTAATACACAATCAAAATACACAGGCCTTGCTATTAGATGAACACCACCACAAAATAGAGTCAAGTCAATGGCGATTTTAAAGGTTTTGTTCTCACCAACCACACCATACGTTGTTAACCAAACACTCACGTGACTGTCAATATCGAGATGTTGAGAGTCCAAGCAAGCCTATGAATCTAGATAATAAATTCGAAAATAGCTTAGATTTTGTCACGTCCCAAGTTTCGTGACAACGCCGCACATTCATTAAAGTGAGCATGCAAGGCTAAGTGTCCAACACATAACCAACAATGTAAATACTCCAATTAAATCCTTAATTATCATAATGCTAAAATCTATAAAAATTGATTATTCTTATCATATGAAATTATCCACCAAGTCCACTAATAAAATCCATTAACAAAACGAATAAAAGTGCTTAAATCATAGTTTTACTCTTGGCACTTTATGATAATTATCCACCAAGTCCACTAATAAAATCCATTAACAAAACAATAATCCAAGTACTTAATTCATAGTCCTACTCTCGGCACTCCCACATGTAAAAAATCCCGCGCAGTTTTACTCTTCAGAATCTGAAAAAAAAATAAGGGTAAGCTAGATAGCCCAGTAAATAACCAACCATCACTGCCAGCTGGATCAAGTATTAATAAATAAATAAATAAATAAATCGATAACCAATAAATATAAATTTTTCTATAGTTCAATAAATGAACAATTATTTGTAAGATGGTTTCATAGTTAAAAATAAACAATGTACAATACATTTTAAATGAAAAGCCAACAAGATAATTCAAAGTAATTCATTGTTCAAATCGATGGTTCGATATTCAGATGATTCAATGATTTGATTCACAAAACCCAAGTCTTGGTGACTACGGTCACTTAGCCCGTGACAAGGCCCAGAACCACACATAGGCCGGTGGTAAAGCCCCAAAAGAAACTAGTTTCTGTACCAATAAATAAAGTCAGACTAGAGTGATGTTCAAAATTCAAACAATACACAACTTTTAAATAAAACATTCGATATTTTTAGAATAAACGTTTAGTACAATTTTCAGAATAGTTTCACCAAATATTCAAATAATTTTCATAATAATATTCGATGTTGTTTTATACTTGACCCATATTTTATTTTAAGAGAACACGAAGGCTATAAATAAATATTTATAATTTTAAACGATTTGATAGGAATAAAAATGAACCAACAGTGATAGAGGGTTACTTACCTCAAACAGCTAAAATAATATTTCCCAAGCTAATCTCAAATTACCAAAATCCACCTTAATCTCACAAACCTAATAAAATATTACACCACATAAACAATTATTATTTGCACCTATCCTTCTCTTCTTGTAGCAACCATAGAATAAATTAATCCAATTGTTTATTAGGAACCCCCACAATTCAGCATCAAAACAAAGCCATCACGGCTTCGGAATTCTCAACCTATATTATTCTATTGTTGTTCATATACATGTATAAATTTGTAATTGCTTGTAGCCAAACTTGTATCACACAAACGCACCACCATTAAACTTAACCTATCACATATTAATCTCAAAATATGAACCACTAAACCGAGATGCAAAATACACTCTAAAATTGAGCAAAAATCGAGACCCCCAACATAAACTGCATCAATATATTTATTTAATCATATATGCCCATAAAATCATCTATTGATATATTAACAACAAAATCATAGATAAAAATACAATAAAATAAATCTTACCTAAGTGATGAAAATCCTCCTTCTTCACTTTGGTTTGTTTTCTTTTCTTTAATTTTTTTTTTCTTCTACTTTTCAAACCTTGCGCAGCCTTCCTCCCAAGCCCTCTGTTTGTTTGTTTGTTTTTTTTTTTTTTTTTTTTTTTTTCCTTTCTTCTCCCAGACAAAGCCACGGCATGATGGCTACTTAACCTAATGTTCTTTTCTTTTCCAAAATTACAAAATTACCCACCTATGTTATTGAAATAATAATACCATCTCATAATTAAATCCTTGATATTACTAAGTGACCCATATAAATTAATGTAATTACCAATCTATCCAAAAACAATAATATTCAAAACTTGAGTTTTACAGATTTTGTATTTAAAGGTATGTATTTGAAGTTGTTATTATGGGGTTATACACTAGTGAATCCCAACTTTTGACTATCAATTCTAGTCTCTTTTCTGATTTATTTTTCTGAGTTCCTAGAAATTGTTATTAGAAAGTTACATTATGAGTAAATCTTAACCTTTGATTACAAATTCTGAGCATTTTTTAATTTATTTTTCTGAGTTCCTAGAACTACTGATTGAGAGTCAACTAGAAAAGTCTGGGGAGATTTTTTCATATTTTTTACAAGAACCATTTACAATAATATTCAGAAAATTCAATGTGTAGGATTATATTCATAATTCATTTTAGGATGGTCCACACAACAAAAGGAAATTTTAAATCTACACCACATATTTCATTGGAAAATTTTTCTCCCTACTTTTTCTGAATCCCTAAGAATATTGGAACCATTTTGTCTGTATTAGTGAAAAGTCATAGTAAATAATTTTATTTTATGATAAATTTTATTTGGAAAATTATTGAAACATTCTCTCCAACTTTTGGTAGTAGGGGAGGGTTTTTTTTTTTTAATTAGTTAAGGCCCCTCAATATTATTATCAGAGAAATTTTTGCTCCATCTCGTCACATGAACTAAAATTTCTTTGTAAAAATATTGAGCGACCCCAACTACTATAAAAATATTACAGGTCATTTATTTTATAACATCTTAATATCAGAAACCATAATTTGAACGGTTCATTTTTTAAATCACAATATATAGATTATTCAGAAAAAAAAATTAGGTCGATTTGATAACCCTAACCATGTTAGTTTGTTGTAGTTTGTCTCTTCATATATGAATGATCTAGTTTTCAAATAATATTTATCATTCATTTTTTTGTAACTAAATACCATAAACTAACGGGGAAACTTACGTATAGGTTTTAATAGGTAGACTTATTGTCAAATAGGTCATGTGCTAATTAATGATATTTTTCATTAAACACTATTAAAAAATGTCACTAATTGTTAATTTTCAACGACAGCTTAAAAAAATTATCATGAAAAACATTACTAATTATAAGTTTTAGCGACAGTTTAAAAAAATCATCACAAAAAGGTCATAGAAAAAGTCACTAATTATAAGTTTTAGTGACAATTTATGAAAATCGTGTCAAAAAAGTCACTATTTGTTAATTTGTAGCGCACATACAAAAAATCGTCATAAAAAATTATTTTTAGCGACGATTTTAATAAGACTAACTTTCAATAAGACTTAATAGGAATTAAGTCTAACTAATATGATCTATTGGTAGTTTACCCTAAACTAACATGGCTACCATTATTGGATCGACTTAATTTTTTTAATGGATAACTATACATTGTGGTCTAAAAAATGAACGGTTTGAATTATCAAGGCAATACCTATGATAGACACCACAGGCTGAAACAAAGTCGTCCAGTCCATGGACTGGAGAGGAGCTGCCTCCTTATTTTTTAGTTAATGTAATGGTTAGGTCCCTTTTTATTAGTTATACACACCAACAACATAAAATTCTTATAAGACCTATTTATTTATTAATAACAAAAGAAGAATATTATGAAAATGAAATTAAAAAAAAAAGAAAAAAAAAAGCAATACAATCGAGGACAAGAAGTCCTCGTAAACGAAAATAAAAAAATCTAAGGGCTTGTTTGGAATGTTCTAAATAAGTGTACTTTTTAACTTTTTATGGAATATGGGTTGGGTATGGGCTGGATATGAAGTGATGTGGTAGAGAGGTGATGTGACTTAAATAAAATGATGTGACTTAAATAGGATAATG